GATGCCTCCGGTCCCGAATGGAACATCCCGCCCAACGCTCCCGCCTGTATGGAGCGGCACCTGGAGGGCGCGCACTACCGCGCAGGTAGCGGGGCCGCGGGCGGGCCGCCGGCCCGGGGGGAGCGGGGTGAGGGGGGCCGCTGCTGGGCCGCCCGGTCCCGCCGCTCACCGGAGCCTCTCCCCTCGCCTCTCTCCCGCAGACGGGGTCCTGCTGTTGGGCGCCTCGGGGCTGAGCGGCCGCTGCTGGACCGGATCGCTCTGGGTCTTCGCCGACCCCCGCCGCGCCCCCAGCGAGGGCTTCTGCACCGCCGGCGTCCAGACGGAGGCGGGAGTCGCCGACCTGCGCTGGGTGGCGGACAGGGGCATCCTGGTGGCCTCCGACTCCGGTAAGCAACAGGGATCCCCATCCTGGGACCGCTCCTGAGGTGGGTGCTACCCCCTCAATCCATCGCTGAGGTGGGTCCAGGGCCCCCATCGCTAAGGTGGGTCCGGGGCCCCCATCGCTGAGGTGGGTGCCCCCCATCGCTGAGGTGGGTCCGGGGCCCCCATCGCTGAGGTGGGTCCGGGCCCCCCATCGCTGAGGTGGGTGCCCGACCCCCCCCAGGCGCTGTGGAGCTGTGGGAGCTGGACGAGAACGAGACCCTCATCGTCAACAAGTTCTGTAAATACGAGCACGATGACATCGTGATGACAGTGGCTGTCCTGGCCAGCAGCACCCAGGCCGTCAGCGGTGGCAGGGACTTCTGGTGAGTGCCCCCAGCCCGGCTGCCCTGCGGCAGGGCTGGTGCCAGGCGCTGACTGCTCGCTCTTGTCCACAGCGTGAAGGTCTGGGACCTCCCGGAGCAGACGGTGCTGCACTCCTACAGAGGTGAGTGCCACCCATTGCCCTGCTCCTCCTGGCCCCTGGGCCCCGCTCCTCCTGGCCCCTGGCTGGTTACTGCAGGCCCAGCTCAGTCCTGCAGCATCCCTGGTTATCTCCCGGCTGCCAAACCACGCTTGGGGCCATGATCTAATATGTGAAGTTTCCGGCTCAGCCTCATTTCTTTGTCCGTTGTTCATTTCTCTCCACAAAATGAATGGTATAAGGCTTAGTTTGTCTCCTATCTCTAAGCGTATTTTAGAGTATTTCTTCTGCACTGAAATCTGTCTCCCACCTGCACGTGAGCATGTGATCTCGTAACTGGGTTCTCTCACTGGAAATGCCCATCTCTGGAGATCTGGTGGTGTGATCTCTAGCCATGGTAAAGGACATACTTTGTTTGATCCTGTCCCTCCTGGCCCCTTTGTAACGGACTCTTGGCTGGAGAGGTTTCCTCCAGCTTATGCACGTCACGGGGACCTGACTGCAGTGGCTCTGGTTGGATTTGGCAGCTCATCAGCTTGGTAGGAAGCAGTTGGCTATTGCTGAGTAGAAGTTAACCCTGTATCTGGGCTTAAACTGTTCTTTATTGTGCTGCTGTGCCGTCAGAGGTCTTGGGAACATGTGGGAAAGTTGGATACAATCTTTGAGGCTCTTTATCCTTTTGTGCTTTTGGTAGCTCACTCCGGTTCAGTGACATGTGTGGCTTCCTGTCCTGGTAAGGACACTGTGTTCCTGTCCTGTGGTGAGGTAAAGCTTGCTTTCTGTCTAAATCTACAAATGAGATTTAATTGTAGTTATTTACAGTTAAATGCACTCTCTGAGAAACTTCTTACTGTGTTACAAGCTGCATACCCATGTTACTTAAATGTTACACTCTGATAAGTTGCTAGTCAGCTTACCAAGATGATTTCTACGGCTTTATATTAAAATATGTGAGTTCCCAGCTCTGTCCTGGGCATGACTGAAGGAGCTAACACAGTTAATGGCAGCATCATTTTACCACAGAGGAGGAGGTGGTGTGGGTTTGAATGTGGGTCAGTAGCAGTTCTGCAGCGAATCTGAGTTTATGCCTCTCCCTTGCTGCAAAGAAATTATAAAAACCTTCTCATTCACTTTGATTTATAGGACAACAGAACTTTACTCTGGGACACCAGATGCCCCAAACCAGCTACTCGAATCGGTATGTTTCTGTGTGCAGTCACTGTGTGTGTATGACTTTTTGTTGGAAGACAAAATACTTTTTGAGCCTGACTTCAGTATGTCTAATTTCAAATCTGACCATTTGGGCAGAAAAGCCCATTACAGCCTAAGGGAGTCTAATACTATCACAGAAGTACAGTAAGCTTTTAACTACCTGTCTTGGTGCAGTAGCAGTGCTAACTGAGATAGTGCAGGAATATCTTTGTATTGACTCTTTCCACGCTCACCCCAACTTCTGTGCTCGCAGTTTGCAGTGCCTGTAATCACCTCCCTACCTCAGTCATGTGGCATCCACAGAAAAGTGACATCTTTGCTTTGGGTAAGAAGTGAGCTTATTATTTGACTTTCACCAGACAAACCAAGGTCTGTCTTCTCACGTGGCAATTTTGCTAATAACCTCATTCTCCCTTCCTCTCTTAAAGGTGATGAAAATGGAACAGTTGCACTAGTAGACACAAAGAATCCTGATTCTGCCCTCAGCTCCACTGTGCATGCCCGAAGTATCACGGGGTTTGCATTTTCTACACATAGGTACAGTCAGATGTGCTGGCGTGTGTGTGACTCCATACACCTGAAAGCCTTATTTGTTTTTAGAGTAAAATTTATGAGAACTAGTTTTGGTCTCTGTCAAGAAGACCTCTCTGCCAAAGAACATCTCACTTTTGACAAGTTTGTGAATATACACGAGAACTGTAGTATTCAGAATTATTGACCCACTCATTGTGGGGACTTTTGTAGTTACAGTCACCTCTGCTTGAGGATGGATTATTTGCTTTCCGATGCTTATAGAATATTCCAGCTTAGTGTGCTGGCAACCTGCCAAATGATGAAGATGATGTTTTTGTAAGATTTAGTGTCTGTTACAGAATCACAGAATGATACAGGGTTAGAAGGGATATCTGGAGATCATCTAGTCCAATCCCCCATTAACTGAAGTCAGTAACTTAACTCGCTGTACCAGGGTCAGGCTCTCTAAGAACCATGCTTTTCACATGTTTATCCCTAAGAAGTTCCTGTATTTGATTGTTCTAACCCCCATCTCATCTCTCTCCTCCAGTTCACCGTTACTGGCTACAATCAGTGAAGACTGTTCAGTAGCTGTTCTTGACTCAGACCTCTCAGAGGTGTAAGTACCAGTCAGAACGTATTCACTACTGTAGCTTTTTGTCTTGTTAACTTAATGAGAAGTCAATTATTTATCCGTATGTTGAGTGGAAGATGAAAATACTCTTAAACTGGCAGTTAGGAATTGCCCGAGCCCCTAAACTCCAAGGGCCAGTGCTTTATGGCTGACAGAGGGTTTGTGTTTTCCAGGTTCAGAAGCCGTTCTCACCGGGACTTCGTAAAAGGGTTATCGTGGTCTCCTTTGGACAATGCCTTGCTCACTACAGTGGGATGGGATCACCAGGTTTTACATCACACTGTCCCCGTACCAACCGGTGAAGCTTCTGGAGTCAACTGTGTAAAAGAATAGTTTTTTTTTTTTTAAAAACTCACTGTCCAAATTCCTTCCTGGCATTACTTTGATTCTGCTGAAGTCAAAGGTGTGTGAGAACCGGAGCAGGGATGGTCTGTGGCTGTCTTCAACCTTGTGGCAAGGAAGGTTCCTGTAGTAATTTTAAGTTAGGCATAAGTTAGTTACAAACCAAGCTTTACCCTCTCCTCAGGAGCTGGCTTCACCTGTGATAAGACTTCAGTATTTTACTCAGAAAAAAAATTGACTTCAGGCACAGAGGAGACTTGGAGAGACAGAGAATTAGGTATAATTAAAAAAAATAATAATCAAACCACTCAGTTCCTCCCTCAGTTCTTCAAACCATCCGTGGAACTAATAGAAACATTTTGTGGGGGAGATGAAAAACAAGATCTCTCTTTAGCTGGATGCAAGAGCCTCACCCTTGAGCCTTCTTTGTTTTGTAAAGCAAAGAAGAACACAGGAAGACGTGTTCCATGCAAAGGCTAGAAGGGGTGGCACTGAGCACTGTCTGTGCTGCTGCTCCCTTGGGGGGTACCAGAACACCAGTGCTCAGTGTGAGGAGTCCTGAGTGCTGTACCATAAGGATCCCAGCCCTAGCCCTGTGGTGAAACACCATCGTGACAGCGCACGACGTGCTGAAGCACTGGGACTGGTGATGCTCAGCACTGGCTCGGGCTGAGGGCAGCTCAAAGGGGCAATGGCTGTCACACACGGAAAGCCCAGGGAAGGCAGCAGTTCCTGTGCTGTGCTGTGTTTCATCTCCTCTGTCAGAAAGACAACTTACTCAAAAGATAAGACCTGTGAACTAAAGTTAAAATGAAAGGGAAAAACTGGACTAAGGACTTCAGGTTTCATGTGCTTGCTCCTCTAACCAGGCTGCTTAGCGATAGGTGAGACACGTACGCGCTTGTGATGAGTGACTTTTTGTGCCAGAGACCGAGGGGACCAAGCAGTCCCATAATCCCCAAAACAGACTCTTAGAGGCGGTTTTTTGTAACATACCAAACCACACACTTTTCACACTAAACTGTTTCCCTGGGACATGTCATGTTTAACTGAAAAAATTTTTTTTGTAACATACCACACACTTTTCACACTAAACTGTTTCCCTCGGACATGTTTAACTGAAAAAAAAAAAAAAAAATTGGGACATGTCATGTTTAACTGAAAAAAAAAAAATCATTGCTGTGCATGCATTGCCACTGCTCTAGATGTGGCCTGGTCTGGCCGAATATTTCCTAGACAATAAAGCAGGTCCTGACTAACGAAACAAAAAATACTATTGAAATGAATTCTACTCCTGTTTTAGCATGATAGCAACACTAAAGTGTGCGCCACTTCCCATGGGCTTATCCCTGCATAAACATAGGGTTGACTTGATCCAAACTATGCAGAGCCCACCATTAATTTTTAGGCAGAGAAGCTTACCCAGGCTCTGTGCTTTTCTCGTGCTTGTTTTAAATCTCATTTGCTGCTTTTTTTAATTCCCATGTCATACAAGTGTTTCCAGAGCAAACCTGATCTAGAGCAGTGTATGACAAGGAATAGGTAAACGCTTATAAAAACTGACAACTTTCCTCAAAAATACCCCTTGAAGAACCAAAAGAGTTACCTGCTGTAGACCTCTGGTGGTGTCCTGAAACTGACACAGGTCTTGTGCTGCTTGTGAAAAAGTCTTGGAAAAAGTGGAAGACAGTTTTTAAATAAATTATAGTTTTCATTTGTACCTGGGTATAAGTTTCATCCGGCCGCTTCTGTAGTATCGAGGAGCCAGCTGAGGTCATTCACACAAAGTGAAATGGGGATTTTGGTCCCCGAAATTAAAGCTGGTCTTAAATAAAGGTGTACCCTACCACTGCTTAATGCCAGGGTGCTCCTGTTCTTCAGCACCAGTGCAGGGCAGGCGGCCAAGTCCTGCTTGTTTTCAGGCAGTTTTTCTTTCCAAAACTTGAAATAGGGTTTCCATCGTGCGAAGCTAAAAATAAAAGCTTTGAATGTCAAGTATTAAACCACATTAAGCTTCTCACATTGCCATCCTGTGAGCGAAATGGAGCAGTCCATGGCAAAAAGGGTAATGGTGGAAGGTGAAGCCTGTATGGACAACAGGTCATTACTGAGAGATTAATCCTCTTTTTACAATTGCTTAAAAACTTTTGGTGTGGCAGTGTGAGAAATGCTTCAGTGTCTGGCAAATCTTGGTTTATGTTGTGCCACAGGAGGGCAGCAGCTGCCGCCTGACAAGCAGCAAAGTGGCAAAAAAAGTTAGCACTTTGCTTTTAAAAGCACCTGGTCAGATTTTACCACTTACACCTGGGGCTTTTCACCATCAGAAGAGAAGCACAGGAGAGTGGCAGTTTATCTGGGAGTCACTGCTGCTGTGTTAGCTTGGCTGTGCCAGTGCTAGCAAGGCTAGGGGGAGAGAGATGAAATAGTTGTGCCAACACGCAGAAACTGGCAATACCACATCAATGCTTGTTGCCTTCACAGCTATCTGCTGGGAGACTCCTCTGGGGTTTGTGGCACGCTCACGCTGCCTGGATTACTTCACACAAGGTTTGGGGACACTTCTATAAATACACTGTGGCTACAGCAAAAGCTTCAAGATACCCACTACACGGGTATCTCTCCTTCCCAGGAGAGCCAGGGTAGCCAGGCTCTAACCAGAGCTAGATTAAAGAGAGGAAAATGCAAATAAATATAATTTTGAGGAGCGGAGAGAATAAGCCACCGTGAAGACGAGCCTGCCTTTTATGTTGCTGCTTGCATTGCTCACGCTGCATTTTCAATTTTAAGTGCAACATTCTAGTTAGGACTTGCAAATAACTAGGCAGGTTTCATTACTCATAAAAAGCTGAAAACCAAGTGCTATTTATAGAAGCAGCACAGGCTGAGCTGCACAGGATCCTCCAGCTGGGCACCAGGGGTGTTTCCAGGGGGGCAGCTGCCCCTTCGCTCCTCAATCAGCCCCCTAAAAAACACTTAAATTGCCCCAGGGTTTACATCAACGACTGGTAAATAGAAATTAGACTGAGCTGAAATTCAGCCTGTTGCGGAGGCCAGTTTGAGCTGTTTTCCTTTCCTTTTAATCTTACATGCAAAGATCTTCACCTTAGAGTAGAGGGACCACTTAATACTAAATCAAGTCAGACCACACGTGTAACAAAACAATACGTCCAGACACATTTAATGCAAGAAGGTTGCTGTTCAATGGCAGTCATAAATAAGAGACTTTGTTCAACACTTTACAGTAAAGCTACCGGTTACACTACGTTAGCGGGTACTTGTGCGGCTGCAGGGGATAATTCCAGTTGTCCAGAGGCTGGAATGACCAAAGAGCAGGTTGGAGTGAGAGCAATTCCATCATGGGGCTCTGGGATTGCTTTTTCAGCCCTCACACTGGGCTTTGTCCCGTTACCACCCCTCAGTTTCCTCTACTGCTAAGTTCATTTAGTGAAACAGAGCTGGGAGAAGGCTCGGGCAGAGGAATCGGACCCATTTTATCTGTGTTTTTCCCCGTCCCCACAGCCCAGCGATCCTCCCTCTGCATCAGGATTTAACTCTCCCCAGGAGCTCTGGCCGCCAGCAGCTCTGACAGTGGGTTCTTTGTAACACCAGCAGTTCCCAGTGGCCCCGGCATAAATGGCTAGTTGTTACCGAAATACTAGAATTTTTGCTTAAACGCATTCAAATGAAGCAGGGAGAGACCAAGGCGTTTAAAGAATGGAATAGCTCCACTGCTGAGAACATTCACACTAACCAGTTTCACAACAGTGAGCAGAGTCCTCCCTGATTTAGTTACAGCTTGGCCCACTCTGCGTTCCCAGAATGGGTGTTCTCTGAATGAATAATGGCTCTATTTCATAAAACTGACTTACATTATCATGCTTCTAACATTTAATAGAAACAAATACCCGTCTGCTAGAAACAAGACGCTCCACGCTATATAAACACCTTATTACAACTCTATACGAACCGTGTGTCTGGGTGAAACAGTAACTGTGAAATTCAAAGCAAGTGCCACCATTGGAGTTTCACATTTTGCTCTCCAAAAAAAATGTCCACACAAACTTGTGTTGGGGATATGCTCAAATTTAGGAGAATTCTTGAGGGCCCCGCCCTGTTTCTAGCCGATCTTAAACTGAAGTCTCACAACAAGCCGCTAAATTTAAAGCTGCTTTTGAGAATTAATTTGCATTTATAACTTAGTATTTTTTTGGGGAAAAAAAAAAGATCCATTAGGTTGCAACGCTATCAGAGAGGCTTCCTTGTTTTGTTTCAAGTTAAACTGGTGAAACTTCATCCAATACTAAAACAGGACCCTGCAGCCACTCAAACAGCATCACAGCTTTACTCCTACAGCTAAATAAGAATCCTCCAGATGCTCCTCACCTGGAGGAACTTCCATGTTTTAAGGAGCAGGGGGGGCTATTCTACACAAAACCAGCACAATTAAATACCCAGAGAGCGACACCATAGTCACTTTTCTCCATAAACATTTTTTGTTTTTAAATCAACACCCAGGTATTTAGAACGTGTTATTTCAATACTGGCTGGGGTGAGCACGAATGGAAATCTTCCAAGTCACTGCGTCTTGCTGGCATAAAAACATCCTTTGAATTAGCTATTAGACCGATTACGGTATTTGCATTTTCCTTTTATTCACAGCAGAGTAAAGTTCAGAGCACTTTGAAGCTGCTGCAATGTTTGAAACAGCTGTTAAATTATTAGGTAAAGTTGGAAATAACATAAAACGTAGAATGCCAAAGACGTGACACTAACATCAAGATAACTCTTTTGAAAATTCCACTGTGAAGGAAAATTTGTCACTGAATTTTGAGCTGAATTGTAGAGCAAAATCTGGTTACACGCCCCCACACGCGCACGCAGTGCGGGATAAGCTGGAGTGGAACTAACGACATTGTATAGGATTGAAAAGAGAAAGTGCTTTCCATAAAAAGTAGACTAATGTCTCAAAGTGCTTTCAGTTTGTCAGTGATTAGAAAACATTCTCTACAAGTTTTTACACTTATTTTACAGTGATTTTCAGCAAGTTTACCTATGAGGAAGATTACATATTCCTAATTTCCGTTCCAACCTTTGGTCGGCTGTCGTGGGACTGTACTGCTCGCTGGGACAGGCTTGCTTTGGTGTGTCACCACAAACATTCCACACACCAGGAGCGCCAAATACTCTACAATCACACCAAAATTAACCTCCCACTCCCCTGAATCAGACAAACTAAAGCCAAGTCTCAGCGTAACAGCGTATAAGGACTATGTGGCTTAGCTTTCGGAGGTGGGGTTTAGGTGAGTATGAAGTGGCAAGAGACCCCTGGAGGAAAGCACCATGCTGTGGTGGGTCCCTGACACCCACCAGCTGACACAGGAAAAGAAGGATTGTTCAATGTCTTAAGGCTCCAAAGTGCTTTACAGCCACCCATCCTCGCAGCCTTCTTCCATGAGGAACAGTTACCAACAGAAACATTTAGAGTGGCCAAAAGGGGCAGGAAAGCAAAGACCTGTGCTCCAAGAGCCCCCCACGGTCGATCGCTGGAGAAGGGGGCTCAGACCTTGGTGGTGGAGCTGCCCCCAGCTCGGCAGGGCTGGCACCGAGAGCCGGGAGCTGTTTTTAAGGCATCAGCATAATTGATTTGCTCAAGGCTGTTGAAGGAGGTGGGGACAGAAGAGGGCAGGATCTGGACATCCTAAACTCTATTTCTATCCCATTGGCCTCACATTCTTATTTTAAATCTCCTACATTTAGCTATATGCTGGTTTGCTTCCATTAGGCACATCTTCCAGCTGGTTTCTCCCCACTCCCAAGCATGTTGGATTTAAACCAATTAAAAAACAAAACAAAACATAACCTAAAACTGCAAACAATCTCTCCAGTGGTGATGCTTTTTAAAGAGAACTAAGGATGCTTTTGACTTTCTTAGAAGAACTATCAGGCTGCCATTTTGAAAATAACACGGGGGGGAAATAGAAGGAAAACTGTGTTTTCTCACGTAACAAGACAGCAGCCGGTCCTCTGTGGTAACTACTCTCCATGGCAGTCTTTTGCAAAGAGTCCAAGTCCCAGGTTCACTCCCCACCTTCCCCACCAGCAGTGTCAAGCAGTGCGTTTGCTGGATGGGCTGGGACCATCCCTGGTGCCCACAGAGGAGATGACAACCCACCCAGGCACCTTCCCTCCTTCTCCCAGCCGAAGGCGGTGGAGCAGCCCTGTGGAGAAGCCTATCGGTGGCCGCTCTGGTAGGCGTAGGAGATGGGCTGCCGTGCTCCAGGTCTGACTGTGAAGGTGGTAGTGGGTCCGCCGTGGGCAGGTCTGGAGGGAAAAAAGAGGGAGAGTCACTGAAAGCTGAGGAAACTCTGTTTTTATTCAAAATAGCAATTTTTTTTTGTCTTCTGTTGGAGCAGGGCGACTTTTGCATTGCCTCATGCCCCTGTTCAGGAACACAGCAAGGAGCCAGAACACACGGTAGGGAGTGGGGAGGCACCACAGGACAGTGACAGCCCTGGACCCAGACAGTGGGACTTCTCTGGGGCTACAGAGAGGATAAGGAAGGGCTCGGCTCAGGGGGACACATACCTGCTGGCTGTCACAGCGCTGGCAGGCGAGAAATCCCCGTTCTGCGCCTTGTACTTGGCGTCAGCCCCGGCGCTGCCGTACGGCGTGGCTTTCCCAGCAGCGTCCATGGACGTGCGCCTGCCCTGCGTGTTCGTGGGGCCGTTCCTCTGGGCAGGGCCCAGCCGGCGGCCCCCCTCCCCGGCTGCGGAGCTGTATCCCCCGGGGCTGTAGGAGAGGGTGCCCGTGGCCCGGGGGGCCGCCGCTGCCCGGCTGTAGGAGCTGTCGGGCTCCGAGACGTACAGGCGCTTCTTGATGAGCGGCCGGGGGTTCGGGCAGCGGCCAAAGTAACCGGCGGAGCTGCTGTAGTCTGGGTACTGGGGTGTGAAGTCGCCATTCCTCCTGCTCTTCTCTGAGGGCAGCGGGGCCGGGGGCTGACGGTTGCCCCCGTAGCCACGGCCGTAGCCGGGCCACCTGAAGTACCGTGGCGCCTCCGAGCTCCGGCTGCAGTCGGGGAAGCTGGGGCACTTGCGGTTCTCCTCCCGACTCGTGAGGGGCCCCTCGGCCTCGTCCGTCTCGTTGCTGAATTCGGGGGGCGGGGGGATAATCCCATAGTCCAGCGCCGTCTCCCCCTTCTCCTCCTCCTCCCTGGACACACCATGGCGGGTTGGGCCGGGCTGGTTGGGTTGCCCGGTCTCGAGGAGGCCCCGCAGCAGGCTGGAGGCAGCGGCCCGTCGGTGGCCGGGGAGGCTCGGGGGCTGCGCCTCAGCCATCACCCGCACGTCCCGGCCCTGCTCCGAGGAGCTGGAGAAGGATGGAGGTTTGCTCCATCCCGACCCTGTTGTACCCACCATAGGCGGGCGAGGCACCACGGTGAAGGAGTAGGGCTTGGACTCGTGGCGGTAGAAGCTGGTGGAGGTGGTGTCTGATGAGGCACTGTTGAGTTTCAGGGGGGACTTGGCCCGCAGCGCGGCTCCCACCTCGCCACCCTGCCGGCCCCGCTGGGCACGCTGCCGGGCGGCCAGGAGCAGTGCCATGGGGGACCCCCGCTCCACCCGCTCGCCCGTCACAGGGTGGATCAGCACCTCCTCCTGCCCCGCTCCCGAGGTGGCCGGCGGGCTCCTGGCCGTGCTGGTGGGGCAGGGAGGTTCGGCCGAGCCCAAGGCACACGGTGTTTCTGCTGAGCTGGTCCCAGCCCGGTGCACTTTGTACTGGAAGACGGCCGCGTTGGGCTGCGGGGCTGGGCTCTCTGTGGGAGGAGTGGGGGGCGAGGGGGATGTGGGAGCAGGGGGCTTCTCTGCCGGTGCCTGAGGTGGGTCTGGGGGGTTTGTGCTGCTGTTGAGGGACCCAGGAGCAGGGGTCCAGTTCTCTGTGGCCTTGCTAGCGGCAGGAGTGGGATGATCCTTGAGCCCCGTCTCATCCTTCTCCACTGCAGCCCCTGGTGCTGGGAGGGGGCTTGGGGCTGGTTTTGGCACCACCAAGTCACCTGGGTCAGGGGGGCTCTTCCTTGAGTCAGGGGGGCTCTTCCTTGGGTCAGGGTTGTGCTGCTGTTGAGGGACCCGGGAGCAGGGGTCAAGTTCTCCGTGGCCTTGCTAGCAGCAGGAGTGGGATGGTCCTTGGGCCTCATCTCATCCTTCTCCACTGCAGCCCCTGGTGCTGGGAGGGGGCTTGGGGCTGGTTTTGGCACCACCAAGTCACCTGGGTCAGGGGGGCTCTTCCTTGAGTCAGGGGGGCTCTTCCTTGGGTCAGGGGGGCTCTTCTTCATGCGAGGGGTGCTGCTGCCATCCTCAGTGCCCTGCTTCTGGCTGCCGAGCCCCACAGCAGGTTTCCCTTCTTTCTTCATATTCAGCACAGCCTCCAGCTCGTTCCTGATCTTCAACACGCTGCGGGTCTGAGGCGCAGGGCTGCTCTCTGGAGCGGGGAGCGCTGCACTGGGAGAGCCCCCTTTGGCACTGGGGGGGCTGCCAGGCACCTCTTTTTTCTTGGTCTCTCCTCCCGCGGGTACCTGTGTGTCCTTCCCAGCAGGTCCAGCTGGTTGGTGCCCATTGAGACTGGGCTCATGGCTGCCAGGGCGGTCGGTGCCACCGTCCGTGGGCTGGGGAGCTGCCGGCTTCTCCACCGGCCTCTCCTCCCTGCGTGGGGAGCGCAGGAGAGCTGAGAGCTCGTGCCGCAGCCTGCTGTGCAAAGGAAGTGTTATCCTGCCATCAGCCCCACCGCTCAGTGCGGGTTCTCCGCACACAAAAGCCGAGATAATGATTGAGCCCCTGCCCTTTGCCTTTCACTGGCATTATCACGATTTTTACAAGAGAGTGCTGTAGGATTCCAAAGTCTCCTCGACCAAAGGTCAAGCTGGGTTTATGCAGCCAGCCCCATTCAGGGCTCCCATTAACATCACACACCGTCCCGGGAGTGCAGGAGCTGCTGGGGTAGAGGTGACCTGAGCAGCAGCAGCCTGGGCTCCTTCAGGAGAGCCCTGGAATCCCCCAGCTTTTGACAAAATAATAAGAAAAAACACATGCTTTGCTTGCAAGGTCCATCACCCCGCAGGTGACCAAAGATCCTCTACAGCCACAAGGGAATGAGCCAGATACTGGTGGCCCAGGAGAGACAGAGTGGGAATTCACACTCCTGGGATTGTACAACTGATCAGAGAACTTGGTGCTGGTGGAGAAGCCAAGATCTAACAGATCTGTTAGTATCAGACAAGGTGAGCATTATAGCCTCATGTAAGACCTCCTTACGGGTCCCAAAGATACTGTGCAACGCAAAGGAAAGATCCTTAACTCGGTTGAAAGCCAGAGGGAAAACAAAGGCTAACACAGGCACTTCCAGAGCCGCTAATGAAATTGTCCAGAGCAATGACATACCAAAAAACCACAAAGAAGAAAACCCAGCAGTTCTCATTTGCTAAGGAAATTCATTGCTGCCAGTCTCCAGAGCACACCGAGGATACCTGCTCATTTACAGGGAAACAAAGATGTCTGGGCACAGAGTTAAAAGCACCATATGCATCACATGTCTGGATAGGAGTAGCAAGGGAACGGCAGTCGGAAGAGATCTATGCAAAGCTGGAGGAAACAAGAGTCCACATTTCATAAACGAGCAGTAACTTTGGACATGTCATTCCAACAGGTCCTAAGAACTGGGCAAGCCTGTTTCACCCCCAAAAATTTCTGTTGCGGTTGCTAACGCTCAGCATCTCTCTCTCCAAACCCACCCACCCTCACGTCACGGGCTGGTCTCGACAATGGAAAGCATCTCCAGCACGCTGCCAGCCTCCAGAGATGACGGCAAAGATTGTTCCCCTCTGCTGTGTTCGTGGGGTGGGACCAGCCCAGCAAAGCTCCAGCTGATTCAGAGCAGGCTGCTGGGCTGGGGTGGTGCCCAGGAACCGGCATTTCCAGTTTGTGGTACCTGCACCAGATTTATTCCTGCCGAGGATCCCTTTAAGGGGAGCTTTCACTGTAACCACCAGGAATCACTTCTCAGTGCTGGAACAGAGTTAGATGTCCCCCATTCCCAATGCCCATCCCGGTCTCTCAGGAGCCCACGCTTCCCACCCGTTAAATCATCAAATCCCAGCTTGGAAGGGACCTCAAGGATCATCTGTTCCAACCTTTCTTGGTAAAAGCATGGTCTAGACAAGACGGCCCAGCACCCTGTCCCACCAAATCCTAACAGTGTCCAGTGTTGGGGAATCCATCACTTCCCTGGGGAGATTATTCCAGTGGCTGATAGTTCTCATTGTGAAAAATTCTGCTTGTGTCCAATTGGGATCTCCCCTGGAGTAATTTGTACCCATTACCCCCGGTCTTTTCTATGTGGCTCCTCATAAAAAGGGAGCGTCCATCTGCTCTGTAGCCACCCTTTAAATACTGGGACACGGTGTTAAGGTCTCCCCTAAGCCTTCTTCTCTGAAGGCTGAACAAACCCAATTCTCTCAGCCTTTCCTCATGTGAGAGAAAATGAGCGAAGTTTGAGGCCACCCCTTACAAAAAAGGTGTGAAAATATATCTGCTTTGCACCCTGGCATCTCAGAGAGGCCAAGGATTTCCCCAAATTTGAAGCGCTCCCCCAAAACTCCTTGTTTTGAAGCAGAGCTAGGGAAGTTTGGCTATTAACTCCAGGAATTTATTCCCCCAGGATGCCAAAGCTTTGCCTGCACCCAGGAAATGGGGTGGGCAGGGGGAGGTGGTGGTACCCGAGGGGCAGGCAGCCGAGCTCCCTCTCCTCCAATGCCTCCAGGCGGCTGAGGGCCAGGCAGTTTTGGGGGCAGGACACCGATCTGGGGGGACAGGCACTGATCTGGGGGGAGTGGAGAGCTGCCGGGCAGGGTGTGTGCATCCTCCTGACTCACTGCTCCTCAGCCTCCCCCCGCACCCGAGAGCACGTGGGTGGAAAGAAAGGGTTAAGGCAGGAGCTGCAGAACAGCCCCGTGCAAATATGTACGTGGCAGAAGTGTCTGTGCCAAGTCACATCATAATCAAACCTCATCAAAATAATGCAAATACACAACACAGACTGGTCCTTAAAAAAATGCTGCTCCTTCCTACTAATTTCTCCAGCTAAACCTGTTACTCTTGGAAGAGAAGCACAACGAGAGGGACCCTCACAAGGGCAGCTGAGGGGAAAAAAGCCCCAGGGCTGGCTGTGCTTCTGCGGGCACTCTTTATCCCAGGGACATCTGCGATGTGTATTCCTCTACCACATACACTTCTACTAGTAAAACATCTGAAAGCTCAAAAAATACGCAAAAGGCTAGACTCAAAACCCCTGGTAATATGGGGTGCCAGCTGTGGTTTCACACCCAAGCCTGTGCTACCAGAGAGGAGTTTCTCAGGCACCAGTCCTACAGTTACTGGGAGCCCAGGTGAGATTTTTCACCCACTGTGATCTTTTGGACGGCATCACGGAGGGCACAACTCCTTTGTAGAACCTGGGTAACCCCATACCTTCCTAATGATGCTCTCCGATAGGTAAATAAACTCCCTCTCCCGCCCAGCTGTCCTCCAAATGACACCTGCACAACCCCATGACTCCTAATTGCACCCGGGTGACACCAGACCAGCCCATTTGCTGCTGTAGGTGATGGCCTCTCTAAAGGACGAGGATGTACGAGGAAAAACACCCCCTGCTCTCAGAGAGGATTTTCTTGTCAAGACCATGGGCTTTTAAGTGTTTTACTGTCTCCACTGACCTTCAGTGACCCGAGTGCATCACTGCAGCTTTAGCTATCGCCACCTCCAAAGCATCCCTGAGCAACCACGCGCTCTGCTGTACTCTTCAGGGGATAAGACCTTTGCAAAGGTGTGCTAGGTGGAGGAGGAAAGCTTGCTCAGCACATGCGGCAGCAAAGCCTCCAAGCCAACAAAGAGCACGTGTGGTTTCTGGAGTCCCAGCTGGGTTAAAGCCACCTCTGGGTCCAGCTGAGCTGGCACTTGCTCCTTCAGCCCCTGTATCCGGCTGTTCCTGGAGCACTGGCAGCTCTGCAGGGAA